AGATGGATTACAACTAATCACCTAACTTATCTAAGATACACAACTTCAAACTCAAACACTTTACAAAGAATAAGAGTGAAATACAAGTGTAAAGAGAAGGTTTTTGGTCTTCTAAGCTCAAAATTACTCTTGGTAGCTTCTTTTTGCCATTTCTGACCATTTGAACTTCTATTTATACTTGAAGGATAGTTTTTAGCTGTTAGAAACAATTTTGAAGCAAAAATAGCCATTGTTTTGTCTTCTAGTGACTCTTTTCAAATAGGCAGACAAAGTTCCATTAATTGGTTACAAGTAGGTTTTAACCGATTAGCCTTTCTCTGACTTGCATTGTCCGGTAACTCTGTTCTCTATGTTAACTGATTAAAAGAGACTCTAAGCGATTAAAAAATTTTTGTTTTCAAAGTTCTTTATCCAGCAGACTTCCTTTAATTAGTTAACTTTCCTTTTAACTAATTAAAGCTTCACTTTCTTCAACTTTAATTGATTAAAGTAGGCTTTAATCAATTAGAAAATCTTTGAATTTGAATTTCTCCATTTTAGCTTCCTTCAATAGTTAAACTTATTTCAAGTTTGGATTTTGACGTTTGCAGGTACTAAGTTGTTATGCTCTAACTAATTAGCCCAATTCCTTAACCGATTAGTACATCTCTATTTTCAACTTGCAGCACCTCATTAATCAATTAAGCCTAGTGCTAACTGATTAAAGCTTTTTTGTCTTGCTTTTACCCAATGCCCAGTTATGCCTTAACCGGTTAAGGCTTCATGTTAACTTGTTAATAGTTATCTGTTTTCACTAATCACTTTCTTTTTCTTTCTCTAACTAATTAACCCATCTTCAAATTTAGCAAGCTTCTTGACTTTAATTAACAAATATATTAAAGAATTTAAACTTTTTCTTGCACACTTAAAAAATATAATTCCACACCAATGAATGAGAATGTTTTGTTATCATTAAAAACACTTGAAGTCAACATACATACTCCTAGATTAAGAGTGCAATGTCTATGTTTAGTATGAATGCTTTAAATCTTTACACATAATGAGGATTACTCCCCCTTAGTTAATGCATCTAGTTTTCTTTAAAGATTTGTAGCAACATATATATAATATCTACAGTAGCTAAATAAGATATACAATATCTACAATAGCTAAGCAAGACATATTAAATATCGATAATAATTAGCACATAATATTCAACAAAACCATAACTAAGCATCACGCACATAAATTAAACATAAAGACCTAGCAAACTCTATTTAACTTAGTCTTCATTCTCCTTTTGTTTGTCATCATTAATCTTTAAATTAGACTTTAATAAATAGGAATCATAAGCACCCATACAACTAAGTCATACAAGCTTATAGATATAGGTTAATAACTTCAAGAGGCAAGCTTGTTACTATGAAAGAACAAATGTATGAAACTTAAATCATTTCAAGAACTTGTCAAGGATCACTCAAATAATGTTCAAGCAAATTTGATCATTTTATCATAATTAAAACTATAATAATTTTAAAGCTAATAATCTCCCCTTTTTTGATATGACAAAACTATGAGCATTTTTACATTTGAAATGATTTTAATATCTCCCCCTCAACATATGTATAAAATTAAATTTGCTCATAAACCTTCTCTCCCTTTTTGTTATGTCAAAATCATCAAGAATATAAGCATTAAAGCCACAAATATGTAACCATAAAGCCACCAAGTCATCATATAAATGCACTTAATATCCTCAACCAAGTTATTAAGAAATATAACCATTAAACACATTCAACTATTAATTCATCAGGAGAATCATCAATAAGAATACCACATGCATATATATATATATATATATATAAGCAAAATATGGACTTAATATTTATGAAGTTCAAGAATAAAGATGTTCAATAAGCTCATAAGCCATATTTCAGCTCTAATACCGAGGGTTAAAGCTTAATATACCAATTGATGGATATAAGTAAAATCTCCCTTTTGGTAAAAGCACAATATCAATTATGAGAGACGAAATCATTTTAAAGCTCATTATATCAATTGGTAAAGCACTAATAAAGACTTCCCTTGTCATTAAGCATTCCTAGCATATCAACTTCAAGTCTCAATCACATTTAAGAAAGATATGATCAATTGAAAGCTCAAGTGATAAGAGACAATTCTAAAGCTTGATGCTAATTTTAAAGCTAGATACTAATTGAGAAAACTTAAGTCTTGATACCAATTATGCACTTGAACATTCAAGTTTAAGTGAGAAGCAATATAAGGCACAATATCAATTTTGACATTTAAAAAGATGTTACGATAGTGAAGAACACCAAATGTTCAATTGTCACCAAACCTTGTTGTTGAAGATCTCAATTCCTCATTATATCAATGACAATGATTAACTCACACTTAAGAAGTCATAAGCTCAATACAAATTGTTAAAGATGCTTAAGAGATCAAATATTAGGAAAGAAATCATAAGCCAAGAATAAATGAGCATTTAAATGGATATTCAATTTATTTCCTTAATACTCTAGTATTCATGGAACTAAAAGAGTATGAGCATTTGAATAGATGTTCAACATATGCATCAAATGCTCATATTTTCAAGAAATATTTGCAAAGTAGTTCCTAAGTATGTCTAAGATAACATTAGTCTTCAAGCATCATTCTTAATTATCATTAAGTATTATCAATAATTAATCATCATCAAGCAGTCATTATTTATTCTCAATATCAATCAGCCAAGTAGTCTTAATCAAGCATTTTTAGGAAATTCCCTAATTCATATATAAAAATAGTAACTCAAGGAGAAATTATAAAAAAAATCCTCATTAAGCATTTTTTGCGAGTATTATTCTCAATCATTTTCGAGCGACTATTTATCCAAGTCATTTTGAAGCAAGCATTGCAAGATGTATTCTTTAAATTATATATGAAATTATCAATTCAAGGAGAATTTTCACATCAAGAAAATATCATTATTAATGAAGCATTACCAAAACATTTTACACTTGTTGAATCATGTTTGAGATTATTATGATCTAGTAAGCACAAACATGATTACACGAAATAAAATGGATGTCTTCATTAATCATTATTCCAATTTTCACATTTATAGACATATACAAAAAAAATGCAAGCATTGAACTTTAATGAGGTAGATGTTATTTTCAATAATCTTTATAATTCAAGAGGGATATAAAAAAATTTGAAAATAAAGCACTCAACTCATGAATATGTTATCTGTGAACATCCGATCATCAATGAATACCAATTGTCAAGATTTAAGAAAGAAGTATTCAATCTAAACACACTAGGCATCCATTGCTAACTTAAGTTATAGGCTATATATAATTTGACATGTTAAGTTAATTATAGTTAAAGTTGAATACACACAAAATCTTTAGATCATGTAAACATTAAGGCTCAATAAAGACATCACAATATATGTCATGGTCAAACTTGACAATTAAATTCATAATCAAATGCATAGCTTACGTTTTAGACTTCAAACCATAAGGTCAAGTAAAATAAAAATCATGTAAGCATATGTCTTGACCAATATAATAGATGAACCAAAATTTATTTTCATGAAGTTCAATAAGTTCATCATGATCAATTTCATGAGTAGAACCAAAGAATCAATCTTGAAGCAATCATTTAAGTACAATCATAAAGTATATATCAAGAATTGATCTCAGAATTCATTGAAAAGATTTTTCAATATAAGCACATGAACATTTTATTCTCAAGAAATGATATTATTTATGTAAGCACATAAATGCATCGCAATAATGTTGAACATGGCAATAACTTTAATCAAATTACTATTAAAGTTCTCTCTAGAATGTTTCCCAAATGCCAATGATTGCTCCCTTGAACATGTCATCACATCAATGCCTCCACCACACTAAAACAATATCCACTAAATGCATGGCAATAATGTTGATACGCACAGCATACACTTGGGCAAGTGTGGACTAGTTAGTTATTGAAGTCATTTCTTTCTTCTACTGATCAACTTGCTCTAATACCAATTATCATGGGTCAAGTAACTTAAGCACGCATCATTCACCTTTAAGCCATTCTTGTCAAAATAAGCCTAAGTAAACCTTCACAAAACCTATCAAAAACTCGATGTTCTTAAAGCAATACAATAGGTAGTGGAAATAAGAGAAAAAGAAGAGAGAAAAGTTTGAGAAAAATGAAATTTTATTTTTAAACTTGGTGTACTTTACAAATGAACAAAAAGGGTATTTATAAGTATGTTAACCCCCTTATCTAACTTATTAATAATTTAAATTTAATATAAATGGCTCAAGGCTAAAACTAAGACATTTAAATTTGAATGTTCTTCTAAACTACATTTAAATTTATGCTAATCATATCTATGGTTCAAATTACATCAACCTATCTACACTTTTCAAGGGGCTTCTACGTCTTGATATGTAGACGAATTGGGCCAATCAATTGGACTACATAAGCTGTTGGTTTGCCTGGACTGCTGCCCTGTCCGAGTAATAGGCCTTTTAACATACTTGGGCTGCTGGTCTATTTAAGCTGCTGACCTCCTACTCCTTTTAGGATTGCGAGCGTTCATTTTGCAAGTGAGATTGGGCCAAAGTTTAGAGTTCTAGGGTTGGTGTTGGGCAGTTTGGAACAGAACTAACTGAACCATGCTTCCTGCTGATACCTTGTCGGCTTTTTCAGTTCAGTTACCGCCCAAACTACACAGCTCTCAAAGTCTGAACTCTCTCTCTCTCTCTCTCGCTCTCTTCAGTTCAAAGTTGTCTCAATGAAGGAAGATAAGGTAAAATGCAACCTCTTTACTGCTTTGCTTCTTCCTTTCCATATTCTTTTTTTCTCTTTCCTGAAGTTTGACTTTGTTTACCATGTGCCTCTCTGTCGTGCTCTATTGGGATTGCTTATAAAATCCCAAGGAATTATCAGAAAACCTGAACTAGACATCGGGTACAGAAAATTTTAACTTCAAACAAGCGCCTCTACCTTTGCATGTTTTAATTTGCTTTTCTTTTTCTTTTGCTACTGCTGTTGTTTGTCACTGACCAAACAGACTAAATAATAATGCTTTCATTTTCTTTTTTTATTTTTTGATAACCAATGCTTTTATTTTCTACCACTTCAATTATTTTCAATTGATGTGAAATATTGTGTTTATATGATATTTATGAGCTTTAATTCTACTATTGTATTGCCCATTTATGTCAAAGTTTACCTTCTTTCAGGGTTTATGTTTTACATATATTTGTGTTCATTTATGCTGTATTACTATCTGCTTTATCTTTTTTTTTTTCCAGTTAGTTTCTGAATGTGGGTTTTATTTCTTATATTGAAAATTGGAAGTGTATAAGGGTTTTTGCTATCTCTCGAATGTTTGAGCTAACCTCAGCCTCTTGTCTGTTCACATTTCAATTGGAATATGCAAAAGAGATTGAGAGCTTTAATGGGTATAATATTGTTTGGTTCATTTCTTTTTGTTGAGAAACTATTTTGGTTATTGTCAGGTCATTTAGAAATGGGATTATTGAGATCTTAAACTATCTGTTCATCTTGCATGCATAGCTATCATGTTGCCTTCTTCAGGAGGCTGAACAGGAATATGAAGTAATCATGCTACTTCAGTTAAGAGTTATGTCATTTCAGTACTTCTTTGCATACTGATTTTTTAAATCTTAAAACATACTGATTTTTTAAATCTCAAAAACTTGTTTCTTTCTGTTAATTATTCTGCTTTTTTCATGTGTAAAACAACTTCAAACTTGTCTGTTAAAAATAGGGACATGAGATGATATTTCATGTTCGATAACCGCTGTTGCTGGATTGGTTAACCATCATGGAGAAGTTGGGCTGTCGCCACATAGGTTCTCTCACCTTCATTATTTTATATTGAAGATTATCTTTGTGTTTGTGTGTGCACACACATGTACATGCGTATGAGCGTAGTGCAGGTCTGCTTTTGGAAACAACCATTTTCACATTGAATGGTGGTGATAGGGGTTTGGGTGTCATGTTGTGTTTGAGTTTAGTAAAAGAATAAATTAATTGCCATACAATATTGTTACAGTTAGCAATTTTGACTAATTTATTATGTTTAATTTTTTTTTTCCTTTTCTTTTACTGTTTTGCTGCAGCATGTTTTATGTGATAATACATCAGATACGGGTGATGGCTGTTCAATGCTTGTTGAGCTTTCTGACGATGACCCTTTCTTTGACAAAAAGAAGGTTAGATAAAGCAGAAAACATGTTCTAGTCTCTTTCATTTTCTTTATCAAGATATGTTGATTTGTGAGTTTTCCTTCCAAAGTGTTAATGGTAGTTATCAGTACCTTTGACAGTTGTAAAGATGAATAAGATGTAATCTGAGGGACTATGTAACAGGAATATATGCCTTCTATTTTAAGCAAGTGTAAGGTGTGTCTGATTTTTGTTTATCAATTACAGTAGTTTGAAATGGAGAAGTTGAAACTAGATATATTAATAAGGTTACTGCATTAGTTGATGCTACAGATTTTCCACTTAACTAGCTTCTCTTTTCCATGTCTGGTAGAGATTACTCAATGACCAGGGATTTGGTGTCAAGGAAACTGTACATATTAAGAGCTCTTTGGATCCTGCTTCACTAAGTACTATTTTGAATCAAATGCTGCAGATAGCTAGAATTATACATTTAGATGAGGTATGTTGCAATTTACTTCTATATAACTATTGATTTTACTGCAAATCATGGTGGGAAGCAGGTAAAAAGAATCAATGCGGGGTTGAGTTTTTTAACTTATATTTATTTTTCTTATGTTAGGATGAGGGCCTAATAATTTGGTGAATTGTATCTTCCTCAAGTATTTTTCATTTGCTTCTTGAGGCTATATGCAGCTTGTCCCAAGGTCCCTATTGTTATCCTGCTTATGTAGTGTAATAAAGAAAAAAAAAAGGCACTAAACAGATTGTCCCAAGGTCCCTTCTATATGCTTTTGGCCAGAAAAAGAAAAAAAAAAATAGAGTCCCTTCAATATGCTGGTGAATTACTGATGATGCCACACTGGGCATATGAGGTGACAAAACACGTATTCCCATTGTCCCTTAATTACATTGTTGAACTTTGAATAATTAACAATTATGTGACGGCTTCTGAGATGCAGGTAGATCTATATTTTGGTCAAATTGATGGAATGGGACTTTACAGCCCCAGGAATGAGATGGAGGCTCTAAATTCGATGCTTTCACTTATCAACACCTCATTTTCCAGTCAAGTACACATGCAAACACATGCATTGCAAGATCTACAAGATGCAATTGTTAAGAGGATCCATGAGTTTGGAGCCAAGTATAAAGTGGAGAATAAAATTGATAAAAGCTACAACTGTGATAAAGAGAAGCGTTTAGTAGAGTGGGCTGAAAATAATGGTGTAAAAACAAGACTGCAGATAGCTTGTAAGTTCAAGATTAGAATTGCTATTTGCAGTGTTTTCTTGTTGATTAGCTTCTGGAGAATGTTTTCATTTGTTCTCATGTTCTTGTTTTGGTTTTCCTTTTTCTTCTTGATGACTTCATCACTATTCGGACCTCATAATAGCTCTTTAAAATTCAAAAGATGTTTTCATACAAGAAAATTTTGAAAAAAAAAATCAAAAAAATAAAAAAAATGAAAAGATGTTTTTGACAGAAAAAGAAAAGGAAGTCTAGTTTTTTAATATTACCCCTGTCTTGCATGGACCATTATACAGATATTGAAGGAGCTGGTAGAGGAGCCATTGCAATGGAAGATCTTGAAGTTGGAGACATTGCTATGGAGATTCCTGCATCTATTATAATCTCTGAAGATCTTGTACATAAATCTGACATGGTACATTTCATCATTCCCCAAAATATATATCTCTAGCTTATTATAACTCTTACACGAGTTTGATTTAACATCTGTCTAAATGCACATAAACTTGAAAAAAGAAGCATATTAGACTTAATAGATTTCTGGATGTTATTTGGTTATTCCAAATTAATACCATGTTATGATTGCAGTGTTTTCAGGAATCTGCTGGCAGTGTTATCCCCAGTACATTTATGTGGAGTTAACTTGCTAAAAGAACATAAATAATGAAAAGACATTATAGGTGTCTGAATGTTTTGTCTATAAATTCAGTTGCAATAGAACATAGCTTACTCGGTATGTTTACAATGCAATTAAAAGCGACAGACAATTTGCCTTAATTCTTTATCCATTACTTATCTCTATGTATGTGTTGATCTGTTTTGATCACATTTCCTGGCATATATTTGGTTCATGATCATTTTTACCTGATATGCTTATATGGACCTTATGCTACTGGAAGGTGGCATAAATTCACAGAATATGGCATACAAGATAGCATAGATATTTTAATACTGGTTGAGGACATTATTGTTTGTTATTTTATCTGATTGCAGTATCAAATATTAGAGAAGATTGATGGAATGTCGTCTGAGACTATGTTGTTGTTGTGGACCATGAAGGAGAAGCACAATTGTAATTCACAATTCAAGATTTACTTTGATACACTACCAGAAAATTTTAACACAGGTTTGACCTTTTGCTGTGATGCACGTTGTTGATGACATCCAGTTTGTCGCAACTTGGTTTAGTTTCTTTCATATAGCAACCAGCTTTGCTCCAATAAGAAAAAGTGAATCAATGCCATTTCAAAACTAGAGGTGTATCTTGGAGGATTATTTTGTTCTTGACTTTTATTATTGATAATCTTACTCATGAAAATTTGTCAATGCTGGTGAGTGATTTTTTCAGAACATCAGACTAAAGTTAATGCAGTAGTCACTTTCTCTGTTATATTTTGGGTCCTATTTTCTTATTTGTTTTAATTCAAATGTGAAGGAAAAAAAAAACTTCTAAGTTAAACTATTGCCTTCTCTTCCTCGTCCTCTCTATTCAGTCTTCATAACCCACAGAAATTCTCTTTCGCACTACCTCTAAACCTGCTTCCTCTCTGTACTCTCCATGCTGCAGAACCTAGGGTTAAACCCTCTCAACAAGAATTTGCTCAAATACTTTGTGATGGCCTGCGTCAACAGCACCATTAGCCAAGAGGATAGTCTCCATTATTGCAGATTTTATCATATTTCTGCTACAACTACTGGGACTCTAGAGGGATAATTTGAAATTCAGATCATTGAACAACAGATTGCCGAGATGCTTTTTTTTTTTCTCTGCTTTCTTCTTTCTCTCATTCTGACCTTTTTTTTTTCATTCTTTTTTTCTGTCTTGTTTTTTATTCAAGGCAGAACTAACAGAATAATCTGGAACTAAAGCTTTTGTAAATCAAGTTTGTAGCAATCAATGCAAGAAAAAATCTAAATACTTGCAGGAGAAATCCATGGTATTTAGCCTTTTTATTTTTCTGTGATAACCTAATTTTCATGCCTTTGACATGAGGCCTTCTATGCTCTCTAGTGCAATACCTTTGCACAATATCATTTCAATATTATTAATGATAAATTTAAGTAAGGATAAGGAAGAAGTATTTGTTCTTGGATTAGACAGCTAGAGTGGTGGAATTGCTCTGGTTTGGTGCTAGTTATTTTGAAGGTTTTATATGATAGAAAATGCAACACAAAGGAAAAGACACCACCTTTTCCTTGTTCCTGTGTCTTGATGTGAATAAATTAATAAATTTAACCTAATAAAATAATAAATGAGAAATAGCAAGGCTAATATAATTTTTTTAGGTGCAATACCGGTGTTATATAATGTTACCATCTTTTTGCATGTTTGTGAATTAAAATATATCTATTTTAATTTCTTGAGACTAAATTTCCACCTTTTTTGTTGTCTTATATATTTACTTGAATTGCTATAGGATTGAGCTTTGGAGTTGAAGCAATCATGGCTTTGGATGGAACTTTGCTCTTCGAAGAGATAATGCAAGCAAAAGAGGTTATCAAGCTGTCCAATACCCTCCTTTATCGAGTCTACCTGACAGTTATGACTTTCTTTTCTGATAGGATGATGGACTTGTGTAAGGGATCTAGATGTTAGAAGAGTTGTGCATCTTTAGGTTTTTGATGATTGTTAACTAGTCTTATATTATGTGCCGTACCAGCTAGGATTTGGGTTTCTTGTGACTTTAAACTCAGGTCACTCTTCCTGTAGCCAACTAGTTTGAGGTTGAATGATTAACACGTTATTGGAGCTTGGGTCTCTTCTTACCTAATTTGTGTATTTCAGATGACAACCTTGTTTTCCTAGTTGTTCTATCAAGCCTACACGTGAGGAAGAGCGTTAAGTGGTGTTATTTCCATCATTTGGTATTTTATCTTGGTTGGGTTTATGCATCTTTAACCAATTGGTTTTAAACCTTGAATGCTTAAAAATTATGACTTGAGCTGTTTCCAAGGAAGTGATTTTCTAGTAGGCAGTAGGTATAGACAAGGTTGATTTGGGACTTATAATATGTTTACCAAAGCATAATCTTCTTGTTATATTAATTGGCGTAATTCAAGAAAACTGCAACTATTCTTTGTTATCTATATGATAAATCCTTTAAGTGGAAAGATGAGAACATTTTCTGAATATAATGTATAACCTTTCTTCTTTTTTGGTCTTTTTTTGTTTTGCAGCATTTACGTGTTCAATATGATGAGGTATTTCCTGCACTATCCAAAGATCATCCTGATATATTTCCAGAGAAGCACTACACATGGGAGCAATTTTTATGGGCTTGTGAACTCTGGTATGCTAACAGCATGAAAATAATGTTTGCTGATGGAAAACTGAGGACTTGCTTGATACCTGTTGCAGGCTTTCTCAATCATTCAGTAACTCACTTTCTCTTGTTATCCAACATCTGCAATCTGTTTTTCTCATTTGATTTTAGATGACTAAGGTACAAATTTAAGGCTGTCAGAGATAGTTTCATATGCTATTTAACTTCATAAATCTAAGGGACCACTGGTTGGTAGCAGTTTATCAACTATTAACACACTAAGTGCTAGTATTTGTCTTAGACTATGTTTACCTTCGTGGTATTGTTTGTCCTAGTGTCGCTGGTACTGCAACTGTACCAGTTGTACCAGCCCATATGTACTAGTATTGACAACCTTGGTTATTCCTTTATTATTTAGTTTACTTTTATATGCTCTTGTACAATTGTCTTTACAAATATTTCAAATGGGTCCAACCAATTTTTAAGACAGATGTGTAGGCCTATTTTGAGGCCTATAACAAGGTTTAAATTTTTCAATTACTGGTTGGACAACATAAGCTTTCAGAAGGTAGTGGAGGAGTATTGGAAAGGATCAG